AGGACGCTTTGTTCAACGTGAACACCAACTTCAACGCGAGGTCGTCATCACCGTCGCCAACAATCAGAATCTGCTCACACGACGACAAGGCGTAGTGCAACTTCAGTCACGAGAAACAAAGGTCATACTGCAGATGTCGAAGGTTTTAATAGCAGAAGGGCTCGGTTACAACCTACTAAGCGTCAGTCAACTGATGGCGAAGGGCATACACCTCGAAGCAGATAGCACCACTCAGGAGTTCAAGTTATATAACGGGAAGGGCGGTCTCTACATCGGGAAGGCGGTCCTGAAGAATAACGTCTTCGTCCTCGACTTCGTCCCAGATCTCGGCACCGCTGACAGCGACGGGATCGTCACCTTCACCTCCTGGACACACCCACCAGATCTTGACCCCGACTTCAGTCCAGAAGGCTTCTGGTACTCGCACACCATCCCTGAGGCAGAACGAACAAGAGCATTAGCAACAATTCAACACTCGGCAGCAGCAGAGACAACATCGGCAGCAGTAGAGACAACATCGGCAGCAGCAGAAACAACGGCAGCAGCAACAGCAACATCGACACCAATCGCTGGTCCTTCAACTGCATTGGCTCAAATTGACGACACTCCACCGACTCCTGCGCAACAGCTTAACCCAACACCACGAGAAGTACATCGAAGTACAAACTTCACCGCAAGCTTCTACTCCAACTCCGACTTGTATCGTCGCTCACCCGGACATCGCGCTAGCGAAGACATCTGGCACGCACGAATGGGACATCCAAGCAACACGGTGTTAAACAACACAATCAAAGCAGGAGTACTCGACAAAGATTCACTGCTCCTAACCGATGGAAGCGAACTTCGACGAGCTCGTGGAACGTGCTTTACCTGCCCCGAAGCTGACCTACCACATCGGCCTTTCGCTTCTCACCACAACCCCAGCGCACCAGCTTACGCACCACTTGAGAAAGTGTACAGCGACATCCTGTACAATCGCGAACCTGGACAAGGAGCATACAGCTACACCATCACGTTCATCGATGCCGCTACGCGTTACGTTTGGCACCTTAACCTTCCGAGCAAGGACATGGCCTTCGAGGCCTTCGTTGCTTGGCTCCCAGTAGCAGAACGAGAATCAGGCGTGAAACTAAAAAGCTTCCAGTCAGACGGAGGAGGAGAATACACCTCACAGAGGTTCAAGCAGTACTTGGCAGAAAGAGGAATCAAGAGGCTCATCTCGCTTCCCTACGCCCATCAACAGCAAGGCGTGGCAGAACGGATGAATCGAACTCTCCAGAACACCATGCGACTGCCCAACCACCAGTGGCCTAAAGCAATGGACCACGCTGTCATGCTGCACAACTTGCTCTCGTCATCATCGCTCCCGAACAACGCATCACCGCATCTGCTGTGGACAGGAAAACATGGCAGCACAAAAATGTTAAGAGTTTTCGGCTGCATGGTACAGTACCGACCCCCATCTGCACGAGCCGGCCGATTTTCCCAACGCGCACAGTGGGGACTACACCTGGGCATCGAAAGAAATTACAACGCGTGGAAGATTTTTGACGTCCACTCCAAAGAAACAGTAGCAGCACGTGATGTCATTTTCTACGAACGACTCACCCTTCCGACGTATCTTGCCAACCTGGAAGAAGATCGGGACCCCACAGGTGGCTTCCGTGGTGACCGACACTTCGCCTCGGCAGCAGACGAAGCTGACTGGGACGAGCAGAAGGTGGATGAAGCCTCGGAGGAAGCCGGACCTCTCCCTTACTGCTCCGTCGACGTCCCAATGGATGACGAAAATCCTCGCGAAAGCGCCAACGCCGACGTATTTTACCACTTCGCCGACAACGGTTACGTTACACCTGCAGAAGTCAACACCAACGAAGCAGAACGCATAGGGCCCAATTTCATCCCTGACCCAGAAGCAGGTGACGAAGCAGCTTATCCCGCGGACACAACTCTCCCCCGCTACACACAGAGTGGTCTCCAGATACTCGGCCTCGTCACCGTGGTCCACGGCACGGAGATTCCTAAGGAGCCTGCCACAGTTCAGCAGGCTCTGGGGGGGGAGCATAGGGAAAAATGGCGTGAAGCCATGGACAAGGAACTGAAAGCACTGAAGGAACGCAACACCTAGAAAGTCGTCCCAATCGGCGTGGCACGAAACAAGACAGTACTCACCGGGAAGTGGGTCTTCCGTGTGAAGACAAAGGCAGACGGCACCATCGACAAGTTTAAAGCGCGCTGGGTCGTACGCGGCTTCGACCAAGAGCACGGACGCGACTTCACCGAGACATTCGCCCCGGTCAGCCGACACACCTCACTACGAATTCTCCTCGCGATCGCCGCTATGAAGGAAAAGAAACTGCGGCAAATCGGCGTCGCCAATGCATTCCTCTACGCACCTGTTGACGCCGAAATCTTCGTTGAACTCCCACACGGCTCCCACGGAGAACCTAATCACGTCTGTCAACTGCTGAAGTCATTGTACGGCATCAAACAGGCCCCAAGACTGTGGCAGCAGTACCTACACGCTCGACTTACTCGCATCGGATTCCGGCAGCTACCGTACGACCAAGGCATGTACCGGCTCACGAAAGGCGACGACTATATTCTAGTAATCGTCTACGTAGACGATCTACTCTACATCGGGTCGACCGACAACGTCACTACCTGGTTCGAAGGGGAGTTACAGAAAGACCTCACGCTCACAGACTCATCTACCGTCACACAGTACCTCGGCCTCAACATCCAGGAAGGAGAAAGCGCGATCTACCTCAACGCCGCAAAATATGCCGACACCATCGCCAAACGCTTTGCACTCACGCCAACTACCATCTCCACGCCATACCGCTACACGGCAGGAAATAACAAGGCAGGATCCGCTCCACTAAAGCCTGCCAGGATACGCGACTACCAAAGGAAGCTGGGATGCCTTCTCTTTGCGGCTGTCACCTGCCGCCCGGACCTATCATACTCCGCAAGTCAACTCGCCACCTACCTCAAAAGACCTGAAGCTGAACACATGACGGAACTCGACCGCGCTCTTCACTACCTCGTTAGCACTCCAACGATCGGCCTGACCTACTACAAGAACAGAACTACAACGTCCAAGTTAATCAGCTACGTGGACGCCGACCACGCCAGAGATTCTGACAACAGGCGCTCGCGCACAGGCTACATCTATCGCCTCGAGCCTATCGGACCTATCTCGTGGCAGTCGAGTAAGCAGGAATTAATCGCTCTCTCCTCAGCCGAAGCAGAATATATCGCACTCTGCTCAGCCACCAAGGAAGGATTGTACCTTCGCGAACTCCTGGAGGAGGCGAAGCTGGCTCAGTTACCCAGCTTCTCCCTGTTCTGCGACAACCAGTCGGCAATTCGGATAGCCAACAAAAACGGATTCGCGAACAGGACGAAGCATATCGCCCTGCAATATTTCTTCGTGAAAGACGAGATCGAGAAGGGGAGACTTGAGCTGTCTTACTGTCCCACGTCCGAGATGGCAGCTGATTTCTTGACCAAGAAACTCGGAAAACAGAAGTTTGAGTACTGCATGCTGCTGACTGGACAGAGCCACGTCACCAGCAGCGACACTCCAGAAGCGAAGGGGACTGTTGGAAACAATTGATTTAAGCGCCTCTGTCGTGTCGAAACACCAAGTCAGAAGCGAAGCAGAACATATCGAAGCATCAGCGAGTCAACCCTCGGAGGTTGAACAACTGCTAGAGGTTACGCGAAAGTCAAAGGTCGGTGACCTTTGACTTGACAAGTACAGCGCGACAGCAAGGACAAACAACTGACTCGCTATTGAGCAGTTGCCCGAGTCGTCACTGTATCGAACCGCAACAGCAATGGTAAAACGGTTATTAGTTATAACCCTTCATATTCCCTTGTATTCTTATAAAAGCTTGTATCTCTTTGCTATTAATCAATATACTTTGCCCTCACATACTAGCGCAAGGTGGTTCACAAGTCTTTATTTAACGCTTCCGCTATTACATCGTCCTACTCAGAATTTTGTCCTGCAAAGATCCTAAGGGCTTTTCTCAGCCCAACAGTTTGTCCTTGCTGTCGCGCTGTATTTGTCAGGTCAAAAGTCGCTGACCTTTGACTTTCGCATAACCTCCAGCAGTTGTTCAACCTCCGAGGGTTGACTCGCTAATGCTTCGATATGTTTCGCTTCGCTTCTGGCTTGGTGTTTCGACACGACAGAGGCGCTAAATCAATTGTTTCCAACAGGTTCGCCGATGTGCCGCGTCAGAACAATTTCCCGTGCGAATTTTTGTCGCGCTATACAGTCTTCAAAATTCTGTTCTATAACGAAAACCTTGAGGACCTCCGAGTCTGATATCAGGTCCCCTGATAACAGGCCTGTAGGAACACGCTCTAAGGCAGAAATATAATAATTTCTAAGAAATTTGGATGTTTGGCAGGACCCTGGGACAATTACGTTTGTTTCCGGAGTTTTTACTGGAGCATGTGGACATGCTGAATGATAAAGGCTACTTCATTTGTGCATAAAAAAAACAAATACCGTAACAGTAATGTAGTGCATTGAAGTTTGGAAGAAGCTCACATTGGAAAATGCATGTTGTATGATGGCATTGAATTCGTGTAGACTTCCAAACTTACAAATAACGCGTCTGGTCGTTGGACAACAAGCATTGTCCGCGATAATGCCACTATGGCAATCCCAAGAAGGGCTGTGATGTGATCAGCATGATTCGCGTTACTGCTGGAAAATTAGTTGGCTCCTAGCGTAGACTACGGACTTCCTGGCACCAGCCAAACGCCAGGAAAATAGTTGTCGTCCCATCTTAAATATGTTAAGATTCTCCAGGAATTAATTAGATTTCCGACTGTGTAACTGTACACGTTATCAGGGCGCTAACTCTGTAACTGTTTATTGATTTCTTCGCGGTTCCATCCCTTTCAACGATTCTGCTCTAGTTTCCTTTATATCATCTCCTTCGCTATAAATTCGCTTCGTTAGTACGGCCTTCTCAATGTCGCCGTTTACATTCGTGCTCCTGGTGGTCGTCGCGTGCGCGTGTGCGACGTCGCCAGCCGTCGCATACACCGTGCGATTCGAGATCTCGACCGATCCCAAATGCTTCGACGAGGAGGTTCGCGAGGGTGTGCTTGTAGCGGGGTCCTACGTGGCGGTCAACGACGGTCACGGGGAGCCGTTCAATGTCAACGCTCAGGCAAGTGAATAAATGGCCAGTCAGTAAGCGAATGCTCGAATAAGAGCCTGACTTGCCGGTCAGGCGTTTAAATTGCCGGTCAGCCGTGACTTCTTTGAAGGGTTGGTGCAATGATGGCTGAATGGATCGTCAGGTTGCGTCCGTGCACCACAATACCGCAGGAAGCAAGAGATAAGAGCACAACACGGACGAACCGACGAGCTATCTCGCGACGGTATGGGAGCGTGCGACTTGCCTCCTCGGTACTCGCACGATTGACGAGCCAGCGAGCTGGCAGCGCTCCTCCAGGTGACGGGGACTGGCGAAAAGCAGGCTCCTTTCGCGCCAAAGCAAGTCCCTTTTGCGCCAAAAGCAAGCTCCTTTCGCGCGACGAGCTTCCTTTCGCCCCGTCTTGGTCCTTCCCACCAGGTGACAGACCCATCAGGGCAGCAGCTGCTCTGAACTGGCAGCACAATGTGGCGGAAGGGGGGTCGTCCCGGTCACACGTTCTCGTGTGAATCATCTACATGTTGCTTCCCTTCCCACCAGGTGACAGACCCGTCAGGGCAGCAGCTGCACTGGCAGCACGATGTAGCGGAGGGGCACTTCGGGTTCACAGCGGACGAGACGGGCGAGTTCTCCGTGTGCTTCTGGCTGCCCCACGAGGGGCACCACGATGCCAAGCGCACTCACAAGATCGACATCACGTGGACCACTGGGAGTTCCCGGAAGAGTGTTAGCCATGCGGCTAAGAAGGGGAGACTTGATGTGAGTGGTGCAATGTGGTGCGGTTTGTTGCACTGTGGCGTGGTGTAGTGTGGCGTGGGTGTGGGGCACCATGACGCCAAGCGCACACATAAGATCGACATCACGTGGACCACTGGGAGCTCGCAGAAGAGTGTTAGCCATGCGACTAAGAAGGATGGGTGGGGTGGGGCGTGGTGTGGGAGGGGTGTGGCGTTGATGGGAGGGGTACGGGAAGCACACGAGGGGCAACACGATGCCAAGCGCACACATAAGATCAACATCACGTGGACCACTGGCAGCTCGCAGAAGTCTTTCAGTCATGCAGCCAAGAAGGAGAGACTTGATGTGAGTGGTGCAGTGTGGAATGGGCATGGTTGGGAAGGGTATGGTTGAGACGGGTAGCTGCACGAAGGGCACGAGGGGCGCCACAACGCCAAGCGCACTCATAAGATCGACATTACGTGGACCACTGGCAGCTCGCAGAAGAGTGTCAGTCATGCAGCCAAGAAGGAGAGGCTCGATGTGAGTGGTGCATTGTGGTATGGGCGTGGTTGGGAAGGGTATGGATGAGATGGGAAGCCGCACGAGGGGCACCACGATGCCAAGCGCACTCATAAGATCGACATCACGTGGACCACTGGAAGCTTCCAGAAGAGTGTTAGTCATGCGGCTAAGAAGGAACGACTTGATGGGAGTGGTGCAATGTGGTGCGGTGTAGTGTGGTGTAGTGTGGCGTGGGTGTGGGGCACCACGACGCCAAGCGCAATCACAAGATCGACATCACGTGGACCACTGGGAAATCGCAGAAGAGCGTTAGTCACGGTGCCAAGAAGGAGCGGCTGGATGTGAGTTGGTTGGTGTGGCGTGGTGTGGGAGGGGTATGGGGCGTGGATGGGAGGGGTATGTGCATGGATGGGAGGAGTATGGGCCATGAATGGGAGAGATTCTTTAATGTACCCCTCACCCCTCAACCCCTGCTCCCACTTACCCCTCGTCCCATTGGTGCCCCTCCCATTCATGCACATCATCCCAGCCCGTCCCCCTCCATCTGCTCGCTCAGCAGCAATGTGACCCCATTGCGGTTCTACAATGTTCTGCGTGGCAAAAGCTGCTCCAACTCCAGAATGTGACCTGTACTGTATCTGCAGAACCTCCTTGTCGAGCATCTCATAGCCTCCCCCTTTGACTTTTGAGTCGACTCAAAATGTTATGCGCGGCAGGAGCTGCTCCACAGTGTGACCTGTACTGTATCTGCTCTGCAGAACCTCGTTGTCGAGCATCTCCTTGCCTCGCCCTCCCCCTCCCCCTCCCTCTCCCGCTCCCGCTCCACGGCAGCACTTTGACCTGGAGCTGCAGAATCTGATTTCATCTCTTTGCCAAGCTCCCACCCCACCCCAACCAACCCCCCCGCCCACACACCCCGGCGCCCCTCCATCCCCGGCAGCACTTTGACCTGGAGCTGCAGAATCTGATTGAACACGTTTGCCAATCTCAAAACCCCCACCCAACGACTTATGAGAATGCTCAAAAGTCGCACCTGGAGCTGCAGAATCTGATTGAACCCGTTTACCAATCTCGAAACCCCCACCCAACGCCCATCCCCTCCCCATCCCCCGCGCCCCTCTCCCCCACAGCACTTTGACCTGGAGCTGCAGAATTTGGAGGACATCTCATTGCCTCTCTCCTCTCTCTCTACCTCTCCCTCTACCTCTCCTTCTACCTCTCCCTCTACCTCTCCCTCTACCTCTCCCTCTACCTCTCCCTCTACCTCTCCCTCCCCCTCCCTCACACCCTCCGTCCCTTCTCCCCCTACAGCACTTCGACCTGGAGCTGCGGAATCTGGAGGATGCTATCGACAAGGTGACCCAGGAGATGAGCTTCTTCCATGAGAGGTGAGAGAGAGGGGGATGTGCAGGGGGGAGGGGGAAGGGGGAAGGGGTTGGAGAGGGGGGGAAGGGGAATAGGAAGGGGTTGGAGAGGGTAGGAAGGGGTTGGAGAGGGTAGGAAGGGGTTGGAGAGGGAGGTGAGCTGCGGAATCTGGAGGACGCGATTGACAAGGTGACCCAGGAGATGAGTTTTTTTCATGAGAGGTGAGACAGAGGGAGGGGGAGGGAGGGGGAGGGAGGGATAGGGAGGGGGGGGGGGGGGGAGGGAGGGAGAGGGAGGGAGAAGGAGGGGGAGGGAGGGGGAGGGAGGGGTAGGGAGGGGTAGGGAGGGATAGGGAGGGGGAGGGAGGGGGAGGGAGGGGGAGGGAGGGAGAAGGAGGGGGAGGGAGGGGGAGGGAGGGAGTGGTGGGAAGGGGTGGAGAAGGAAAGGGGAACGGGAATGGGAATCAGGGGGGGGAGTGTGAGTACGTCATCGACAAGGTGACCCAGGAGATTTTTGAGCCGACTCAAAAGTCACTAAGTCACCTCTTTTGAGCCGACTCAGAAGGAAATGGGAACGGGAATGGGAATCAGGGGGGGGGGGTATGAGTGCATCATCGACAAGGTGACCCAGGAGATGAGCTTACGCCATGAATGGTGCGCTGGGGGGGTGTGGGAGAGGGGAGGGGAAGGACAAGGGTTGAAAGGCAAAGGGGGCAGGGCAAGGGGGGAAATTGAAAAGAAGGGAGGGGGATTGGGTCATGACTGGCAAGGTGACTTATAAGTGACTTTTGAGATTTCTCAAAAGTGATTTCAAAAATGGGAGGGGGACTGGGTCATCATGACTGGCAAGGTGACCTAGAAGATTAGTGCAATGGGGGAGATGGGGGACAGGGAAGAGAGGGGAAGGAAGAGGGATGATGAAGGGGGAGGGGATGGGGGGGAGGAAGAGGGCGATGGGGTGGGGGAAGGAGGGGAGGAGTAAGAGGGCGACGGGGAGGTGGGGGGAGGGAGAATGGGAGGGGGGTGAAGCTCCAAAAGCAGCGTGAAGGCGGAAAACAACGTGTGCTCAGATGGCCTGACCTTGCATGGCATGGCATGGGCTGGCATGGCCTGGCATGGCCTAACCTGGTCTGGCATGGCATGGCCTGGCCTGGTCTGGCCTGGCATGGCATGGCATGGCACGGCATCGCATGGCCGCATGTGACATCACCCATACCCTCCTTGTACATGCCGCCAGGCCCACACTCTTCGTTGCCTTTTCCGCACCTTCCTTCCACGCCCCCTCCACTCCACTCCAACCCCAGCCACCCCTCAGTCCATCCACACACAGGGAGCAGGAGGTGGGGGTGAAGACGGAGGCAACACATTCTGACATTTTGAGCTGTGGATGACGGTTCTTTCCCCCACACCCCGCCTTCCCCCACCCCCGCCCCCCTGCCAGCCACCCCTCAGTCAGCCCACACACAGGGAGCAGGAGGTGGGAGTGAAGACGGAGGCAACACATTTGTTCGTTCCCCCACACCCTGCCTTCCCCCACCCCCGCCCCCCTGCCACCCCTCAGTCCATCCACACACAGGGGCCAGGAGGTTGGGGTGATGACGGAGGCAGCACATTCTGACATCTTGAGCTGTGGGTGATGGTTCGTTCCCCCACACCCCGCCTTCCCCCACCCCCGCCCCCCTGCCACCCCTCAGTCCGTCCACACACAGGGAGCACGAGGTGGGGGTGAAGACAGACGCGACCTGGTCACCCACTTTTGAGACGTCTCAAAAGTCACCCACTTTGAGCTGCGTATATCCACCCCCCCCCCCCCCCCCCCCCCCCCCCCCCCCCCTCCCCGTCTTTCTCCGCCACCCTCCCGCCCCGCCACCCTCTCCCCTTCCGCCAACCTCCCCTGCCGCGCTCTCCCCCTCCACGCTCTCCCCCTCCACGCTCTCCCCCTCCACGCTCTCCCCCTCCATGCTCTCTCCCTCCGCGCTCTCCCCTTCCACGCTCTCCCACGCCACGTGCAGGGAGTTGGCTATGAGGACGAAGACGGAGGAGACACACGTGTACATGGCATGGCTCAGCGTGGCGTCTCTCCTCATGTTTGCATTTTGGGTGGACTCTCCCCCTCCACGATCCCCCCCTTCCACATTCCCCCCTTCGCCACGTGCAGGGAGTTGGCGATGAGGATGAAGACAGAGGAGACACACGTGTATGTGGCGTGGCTCAGTGTGGCGTCTCTCCTTGCCTTTCCCCCACCTTCCACCCCCCTCCCACTCCCACTCCCATTCCCTCCACGTGTAGGGAGTTGGCAATGAGGATGAAGACAGAAGAGACACACGTGTACGTTGCGTGGCTCAGTGTGGCATCTCTCCTGGTGTGTGGCACCCTCGCTGCGCTACAGCTCTGGCACCTCAAGCGCTTCTTCGAACGCAAGAAGCTGCTATGAGGGGCACTGTAAGGAGGGCTCTGTATTGAACTCTACACTCGGTTCTCCACTCAGCTCTACATGCGGCTCTGTGTTTACTGGTTATATCCATGCCATAAATCCACGCCATGCTATCTCACGCAATGCCATGTGATTGGTGGCGTTGATTTTGGTTATGTAATGGTTTGTGCTATGTTGTCAACACATACCCATATGATTTCAACATGACATGTACTGCGATGCTTTCCTTTTGTAACGAGAACCCTGAAATGGGCCGAGTCGCTAATCAATGCAACCCGTTTTTTGCAGAGCGAGTCCCGAAATCTACCAGGATTTTTTAGTGTTGGCCGGGTAAACTTCCTAAAAAAAGTACGGTATGTCTGATTGTCAGCCCTGGACTCACAGTGGCCAAGATATTTCATATTTGCCTTGGTGGCGTGGCGCAGAGGGATTCGTTTTTTGAAGCGCTGCCTACAGTACAGTAAAACACTGAGCATTTTGTAACTCCCAACACGAGCCACCAGTTCTGCACTTGTCCGTTCTGCTGCTTCTTGCTGCTGACGCGACAATGCACAACTTGCCACTTATCTGGTCAAACAGAACCACTAACTCACTCCTTGACTCCCTCACTCAGTCACTCCCTCAGACTATTGCATTCTCTCTTCCCCACACCACCAGAAACAACACAATTCCCTCACTCCCTCAGGTGATTGCATCTTCCTTTCCCCACACCACCTGAAACACCACAGCGCCGAGCCAAACTCCCAAGTCTCACCCCAACCAACACAATCCATTCCTTGTCCCTCCCCTCTCAACTCATCTTTGTGAAGTCACACTCGTAGAATGGCAGCACATGCATTTTGCCCCTCGTGCTTTGGAGTCTCGAGCGCCTCTTGTTGGAAACCAGAACTGGTTCCTTTGCGCACACGTAATGGTTGTTTACCACGCACGTTCTCTGCAGTCCTTCTGCCAGAGTAGGAACTTGATTCAAAACCTCTGTTTCGGTTGTGCCATTCCTTACCCATTTCTTACAGCAAACAACCACACATCGCCCCCGCCCTTGCAACCTGCACATAGAAGTGCTCCCGTTTGTTAGCAACTGTTACGTTAAAAAGTGTTTCGTACACGTGAGTCACTTCCGCGAGGTTTTCCAGGCCTTCCATTTCGGCGCCGTGACGATTTTCGGCGCAACTACTGTCGTTCAATTTCAAAACGGAAGTTTGTCGAATGCCCTGTTGGCTTCAAGGTAGCAACAATGCCGCTCGTACGTGGCCTTCGGAAGCCAATTGATGGAGCTCTCACCGCCGCTGGGGACTGCGGAATGAACGTGGCGGGGGACGGTTATATGATGCCCTTGGAACCTGCTAATAATATTATTACCGCGTCCCACGCCGCCGCTTCCGCCACTGAGGCCGCCGTCGCGGCGGCGATCAACCACGTAATTGCCAAGACGACAGTAGATTCAATTGCGGCGATGATTGCGTGTGCTTCCCCGTTAGCAAAGGCGACACGAGATGGCGCAGACGTGCAGAGCACGCCACGTGGCAGAGAGTACCAGCTGTCGCAGCATCCGGCGGCGTGCCCGCCTCCGACGCCGCGAAAGCGGCGGGACGTCCGCGGCGTCGGTGGACGCGCCACGGCGAAGCGGATTTCTCGCGTGTTGAACTTCGCGACGACGGAATGCGGCTTTCTGGGCGACGGGAGAAGCTCGATCCGCTTCGTCGCGGCGTGCGAGTAACAGGCATCCGTGCGATTACTAACACCTTCCCGTCGTCGCGGATTGGGAGTACTAATGCTGTCTGATACGGTAACAGGGACTGCCAATAGCAGCCTACCGCGTGGCTGTGATCTGGACGACTCCTCATCGTCCGTAACTTCGTCATCGCATGCTGGGAGCTGTTTCCTCGGATCACTGAGCTAGGGATTTTCACCTACTGAGTTCACTTCTAATCGTCTGTTGACCGCTGAATTAGGAGCAGTGACATGGACTAATTATGGTTTTTGGAAGTGTGATTTCGAGACTTTTAGGCCGTTGATCCATTCGCCACATAACCAAAATGTACTTGACAGGTTTGACGGAAATGGATAATGGACATAATATTCTATCGTAAAGCCCTGGGGTTTGTCTATCGTAAGCGTTGGTATTGTCCTAATGGAAAAATGCATTTGCAAAGGAAGGAGCAAGTATTGTTTGGAAGCTGAATTCTGAATTTGGAGAATCTGAGTGTAGTCGCTTCAAGCAATCGAACAGAAGGAATCCTAGCCAGATGCGACCAGCCCAGCCAAGGCTCGTGATCAATCCAACGGTGTATCGCACGACGCGGGCCAGAAAGCCGAGGCATGTGTCGCAGCGGCGATGGCGCCCCCGTCGCAGATATCGTCGCGTTGGATCGTCGCACTCGCGGCGCTCGCCGCTCTTGTCATTCTCGGCCCCGTATCGTTCTCCTCTCTCCCTCCAATCCACAACGACGTAACGGCCACGTCAGCTTCGAATCCAGCTAGTGTAGATCTTACCACGAAAATGTCGTCAGCTGCTGCCGTAAATCGGGCCGTCCTTTTCGGCGGTAACAACGGGGAAACCAATATGGGCCGCACAGAGAGTGTAACGGTGGATGGGATGGGTCGTACAGAACAGTCTGCATCGTACGGATCGACAGAGAGCGAGCGCGCGTCGCAATCAGCGAATTTCGAATCTGGTCAGAGACAGGTTGAACGGCCAGGATCTACTCGCGTCTCCGTTTTCATTCCAAAGTGCGCGGAATCTGCGGGGAGCGCGCCACTGATCCACCGTCGAGCAGAAACGTGAGTTGCGGATCGCCGTCTCCCATCTCCGCCATCCCGCGCCGCCCATTTCTTTCCAGCTCCACCACTTTCACAAAACCTTCCTTCGCTCGCTTTGATAGCTCGAGAGCATTGGAAACAGCAGCAAGAACGCCGCAGCATGCCAACAGCAGCTCTCTCTCTCTCTCTCTCTCTCTCTCTCTCTCTCTCTCTCTCTCTCTCTCTCTCTCACACACACACACACACACACACACACACACACACAAAGTACCCTCTCGCAGCTCCTTTCCTTGTCACCATATCCCCGTTCTCTTCTCTCTCCTATGCCCGGCCCATCGCCAACATTCTCTGCCAGGCATCGTTCACAGCAGAACCGCACGGAACCACTGACAACACCGCCACATTCCAGTCGCTCTCTTTCTCTCTCCTTTCCTTTCTGCTCAATTCCCTGTCACTCCGCCCCCTGCTCTCTCCTATGCCTTCCCCAACCTCATACCCGACAGTCTCAGCCTCGCATACTCTTTACTCTCTCTCTCCTCCCCCTTCTCCCTGCTTTCCCTTTTTTCTCCTCCTTCTTTCCCCTATCTCACCCTCACTAACCCCAAAAAGATCAGTCTCAGCCTAGCATCCTTCAACGCAGTACAAGACAGCACCACTGACAAACACTGCTGCATTTCAGTCGCTCACTCTCGTTCATTTCCTTTCCGCTCGGCACCAGCCTAGCATCCTTCATCTCAGTACCGGACAGGAGCACCAACACCAGCTGGTGATCAGACGCGTTCCAACTCATCTCACTCTCCCCTTACTCTCTCTCTCTCCTGCACCCCCCCCCTCCGCGCCCCCCTACTAACCAAACATTCTCAGCCTCGCATCATTCAACGCAGAACCGGATGGCCCCTCTGACAACCCTGCAGCATTCCAGTCGCTTCATTCCGCCCCTTCACTCTCCTATGCCCTTCCCAAACCCATCCTCAACAATCTCATCCTCGCATCCTCCTTTCTCTCTTCCCTCTTCTCACTCCTACCCCCCCCCCTCTCTTCACAAAATATACAGTCTCAGCCTGGCATCCTTCAATGCTGTACCGGATGGCATCACTGACAACAATGCTGCATTCCAGTCACTCTCTCTCACTCCTTGCCCTTGTTCTCAAAATCCCTGTCACTTCGCCCCTTCTCTCTCCAATGCCCTTCCCAACCCCATACCCAACAGTCTCAGCCTAGCATCCTTCAACGCAGTACCGGACGGCACCACTGACAACACTGCTGCATTCCAGTCGCTCGCTTTCGCTCCCTACCCACACAAATCCCTGTCATTCCACCTCTAATCCCTCCCATGCCCTCCCCAACAGTCTCAGCCTGGCATCCTTCAACGCGGTTCCAGACGGCATCACTGACAATACCACTGCATTCCAGTCACTCCCTCTCACCCCTTTCCCCTCTGTCCACTATCCCCCCCTCCACAAAATAAACAGTCTCAGCCTAGCATCCTTCAACGCGGTACCGGACGGCACCACTGACAACACTGCCGCATTCCAGTCGCTCGCTTTTGCTCCCCACCCACACAAATCCCTGTCATTCCGCCTCTAATCCTCCGATGCCCTCCCCAATAGTCTCAGCCTAGCATCTTTCAACGCAGTACCGGACGGCATCACTGACAACACTGCCGCATTCCGAGCGGCTATCAGTGCGGTACAGTCGCTGGTTGCCGCCCAATCCGTGGCGGGCAGAGGTGATGCTGACGTGGCACTGGGTGCCACGCTGGTGGTGCCACGTGGCACCTGGCTGACTGGTCCTTTCAACCTCACCAGTCACATGACTCTGTTTCTCCAGCAGGGCGCGATCTTACTGGCCAGCCCTGTAAGTCGTTCCACCGCACATCACCGCACACCACCATTGGATCGCTCATTGTCCGGCCTCCTCACCTGTCAGTGGCTCTCCTTTGCAGCACAGCACAATCTTAGTCGGTGCAGCACACTGCACCACATTACACCGCAGCTCACCACAATACACCACAATACACCCCGTTCCTTTCACCTTCTCCCCTTCTCTCACAGCACATGGCTGACTATCCACTGGTGCCACAGCCCCGCACGTACGTGACTGATTTCCGTCTCTTCACTCATGTTTGCCCTCGTGTTCTCCTCCCCCTTCCTCCCCTTCTCCCCCGTTCTCCCCGGTTTCTCTTCTCTCACAGCATATGGCTGACTACCCACTGGTGCCGCAGCCCCCAACGTACGGGC